TTTCAACATTAGTAGCCAAGCTAGGCCATATCAATAGAGTCTTGCTATAAGCTTATTTAAAAAAAATTAACTTCAAGCTTATACTTTGGAATCGATAGCCATCCTTCGAATCCTAGAGTTGAAGTCAAGGTGAAGCCTACAACAAAAAGTAAACTAAAAGCTCAAAGACGCTAGTTAATAATGCTAAAAAGTATCAAAAACTAAGTTTTCATATTGTTAAAAAAGATAAATTTCATTTAAAAATTAACTCCAACCCACCAAAGCATACCATCACATCACCTGTATCACTCTGAATCAACACACATGACTTATTCACCCTTTGATAGTTCTATTTATGTTATACATTTATTTCAAGGTTTGTTTGGTCAAAGCTTGATTATCCAATCTTTTAATGCACATTTCGAATCTTCTTGTTCTGTTTATTTTCCATCAATTTTATTCACGGCTTCAAGGTATATTGTTCTTTTTTTTCTGTCTGTTTCCATTTAAAATTGGATAATTCAATAAAGTCATTTTCTGTGTTTCATTCATGAGGAGTTGTGTCTACATTCTTGCTGGGATTGTGTAGTCTGGATTGTATTTGGATGAAATCTTTGATTTTGACTGAGTTTTGCTCTTAACAATGACTTTTAATATACATCACAGTGAGTATATGAATATTGAAAATTCCTTTTATTGAGAATAAGGCTGTAGTCCAGTGTTGTCCAAACTGTGTGCCGCGGCACGCTAGACTGGTTGACACTGCTCTAGTCTGAGGCTTTGTGTGCTTTAACCTTAATACTCCTTTTTTTACCACGTTTTTCTTAACTTGCTTTCTTATCTGTTTATCTGTTTGTCTGTTTTTCTGTTTGTCTGTTTATCTGTTTGTCTGTTTGTCGAGGTCAAATCTTGCGATCAATTTTTCGGCCACTTCCACTGCTCCAATCGAGCTGAAATTTTGCATGCACTTATCGTTCCGATGACAATACAATATTCAAGCATTTCGGAAACTCAAAAATGCTTAATTATAGTACAATTAAATTAAATTTTAATATAATAAAATAATTTCTCAAATAATGATTCAATTTTTTTTTAAATTAATCTTTATCCAAAATGGTAGAAATTAAAAATTCTTTTTAGTATTAAGAGCCTGTAAAAATCAACAGAGCTTTTAAGAGTTTTCAATTTTTTCCCATGAGTATTATATCATTTATGAATGGCCCAAACTTCAAAATTCAAACGCTAATAACTCAAGAACTATAAATGATATGAATATGAAACTTTTGCTGATTGATTCACTTTTTTATGAAAAAAAATGGATTTTATTGGAACATTGGCAGTTTACAATTTTCATGACGATGAATATGTAGCAGCTCTTTTCTCACTTGATGAAACCAAGACAAATTGTCAAAGTCGATAAAGAAGTTAAAAAGATCAATTTAATGATACTTGAAATCAAGAAAATCTGCAAGAAACGAAAGAAAACAAGAATTTACTATTGTGAACTAATTACTGATGCTGATGATTGAAAGATAAAAATTGATTTTCCATTCCAACTATCATACTCGCAAGAATTGACAAAGAACATGTCTTCCTTAAAATTGAGTCATCAAATATTCTGTAACTCTATGTTCAATTGTTTTAAAGCCCTTTATGTTACAAATAAACAGCATATGAGAACTTTTGATTAAAAATTAATCATATTCTAAAGACTGTATGTTGATGATGCTTATTCAGAACAATTCAAAAGCCAAATTCAATTTGTGACGGTGCAGTTCCTGAAAAAAAAAAATAGAATTCAATTTTCGAATATGTAAAGTTCATAAAATTTTCTTCTTTGAACAAAACGCAGCAAACTGTGAAAAAAATTTTCATTTTGAATTTTGAAAAATTAAATTCATCACAAAAATAGATTGATGTGGCTGAAGTCTGGATTTTCAAAACTTTATGGAACAGAAGACAATTAACAGATGCAGAAGAAAAACACTAGATCAAATCGTTGGATCAACAGATCTTGAATAATCTTGAAGATTGCAATCGAAGGAACCTATTTAAATCAACAAGAGCCTAGGATGCAAAGAAAAAAAAAGGGCAGAAATAAACTAAAGCGAATAATTGAAACAGGAACTAAATGCTCAATATGCAAGTACTCTCCAGCAATGACATCCAACAAGAACAAGCTGAGAAAGCAGGCAATTTTTTTCTTTATACTTAATTTTTCATTTCTTCCTGTATAAAAGTTTAGCAAAAGGAAAATCGAGAGCATCAACAAGAAAATGTCATCCTGATATAAAATATGAAGCAACAATGACCTGAATGAATTAGCACCTTTTATAATCTTTTATGGACACAAGAAGCTAGATTGCAATAACGAATTTCATAAAAATTGCATTTCAACGTTAGCGGGCATGACAAATGAGAGATTAAAGGCAGATAATCAAAATAGTTTATAATGAACGATTTTCATCATTACCTAAATTTAATCGCAGAAAGAATCTGACTCTTTTGATGATGGAATATTCTTAAGCCAAGTTAACTTTGTGACAATGCTGTTCCTTAAAAAATAGAATTTAACTTGCAAATGTGAAAATTGAAAAATTGAATTCATTACATCAATAAATTTATGCAGCTCAAATCTGGATTTGCAGAGCTTTATGGAACAGAGCTTGTGAAGATTATAAAAAACAAATGTCTACGAGGTGCAAAAGATGCAGTGTTGTTATATCAAGGATGTGTTCTTTTATCGATCGACGGGCCAAATGTATCTTATATAGCACGCAAAACTCCAATTTTGTGTCATCAATTACTTTTAATGCTGATGCATTATTGTAAACTATGCTGATCATTCCAGATTTCTCTTCAAACTCAATATAAATACACATTCAGCGATAGAACAAATAAGAGCAAATGCAGACGAGAAACTCGAGACTAAATTATGATGATTGTTGGATCAACAGATGTTAAATAATACTATCCTATAGGATGCAAAAAAAAGCCAGTCAAAAAGAAATGAAAGCAAAAAATCGAAACAGGAACTGTACAGATCAACATACAAGAACCCTTCAGTAATGAAATGTAAGTTTTGTCATAATTTCAAACATGGATTTCTTGATTTCTAGCACAGACTTAGATTTTGATTCAAGTTTTATTAAATTAAGCTCATCCAATGATCTTTTATCTGTTTTTGTCTATTTCATTATGATTGGTGGTTTCGATAAATTATTTTGTCGATGACTTTTGTCTCAAAAATCTCTGATTAATTACTTAATATTTTAATTCCAACTTTTCCTCAAATTTTTTTCGACTTTACCCTTTTTGAACCAAGAAGAATCTGACAACGCTAGCAGTGCCTGGAAAGATTGAATTGCAACTGAATTATAGCAATTATAATATAGAATTAATCAAGTGGATCCTATTCAAGAAGAAGAAGAAGGGATACAATTTCTAATTACTATACTAAGTAGTTTTATTGAGCCAACAGAAGAACCAATAATAAATTAAAAAACTGGTAAAAAGAAAAATCCAAAAGGGAAATTTCTACATCCCTTGCAATGTGTATTGAAAAGCTGAAGCGATGCAGTGAAATATCAGAATTATCAGAATGAGCTATATCAAAAATCAACCTGTCCGTACCAAGAAGAAAGGAGTAAATTGGAATTCATTGGTGGTAACGAAGAAGAAGAATAAAATGTCGAAGTAGAAAAGACGAACCCTCTGACAAATCAAATTAAGAATGCAGAGTCTTGACACCGAATGTGATTACTGAATGCTTACTAAAAAGCATTTAAAATAACAAATATCGAGAGAAGCTGCGAGAAGATAGAAAAACGTGCAGTACGGACAGTATGCAGCACCTACCTCTGATATTGCGAAGAGCAAAGAAATATGGAATAATTATACATACATACATACATACAGCAACCACAAACAATTGAAATAGAAGATATCATATGCGAATATGTCCTTTATCAAAATTATACAACGGTATTCATCCACAAGTCCATTAAAGACTTAAGAACCGTCAAAGAAAGATCGCCGGAACTCACCGTCCTATTGATTATAAAAAAGCAGAAGGTAATGAATATTTTTTTCCCTTCTATTTTAATTGATGTTAGTCCTCAATCCTAGTATTTTCTTTAACCTATTGATGCTTGATCTAGAATAATCAACCGCTTCGTTAAGTTAACTCTAATTGGAAATGAATTAATTTCTATTTCTTTTATTCTGCAGAACATCTCCTCGAAAAGAGCCTACACTCATCTTAGTTTGATCATTCATTTTTAAGAACATGGTTTGGTTGCACAAGCTGATGGAAGCTAATCGTCAAGTGAGCAACGTATGCGACTGTTAATACTTCCATAAACGATACGTAAAAGTATGGTACGAAAGGATGAGAAGGCATCGCTAAGTCAAATTAATATAATTGATAATAATTGATAATATAATTAATCTGGGACTTTAGTCAAAAATTAATTGAAGGTAATTTTTTTTTTCTTGATTTAATATAATTTCTGTGCATTTAAAAAGAGAAATTGCCCCACCGTCCTGCCCAATTTTTTTTGGGGTCCTCAGCGTGCACTTTCAAATCAATCTCAAATTTTCAAACCAATAACCTTTGAACCCAATAAAAGAGTTATTTTTTACTTTTTAGTCTACGGGTAAAAACGTGGTTTTTAAAAAAGTTTTTTTTATAAAGTATTTATTTTAACTAAACTGATGAATAGAATGAAGCACTAAGATGTCGTACTCTTACCTTTTAACATATATTGTCTTTAAACAACCATTCTAGGGCCGATTCTACAAAGGATAACAACACAATTTGACTAAAACACCTCAAAAATTAATATAAAAAATTGTCTATATAATTTATTATTTTATTTTTTGTAATTAACATATTTGCTAGCAGCTGAACAAATTCGATGTTTTTTTTTGTGTATCATAAAAATTATCATTTTGACTAGTTTTTAAATTTATTTGTTCCTATCATTAAAAAATAGACTTTTAATAACAAAATAAATTAACTTCAACTAAACTTTTTCTTTTGTTGTGTAAAACCGCAACTACTCGTTCTCATAGTCGTCATCAAAATAGTAATTTCCATCACTATCCTTATCGTCATTTTCAAAACCATCGTCGTCATCATTCTCAACATCCTCATTATCACTAATGGCAGCATCTAATACTCTATCTGAACCCCGAGGACTTCTCGATGTCACTCGATAGTCGAATGGAATGTCATAGCATTTGCAAATGCAACATGATGGAAATCGAAACCAATCAGAAAAGATACCTCGACATGCATCAAGTGGATTATATGCAAGTAAACGATGCAAACGATATTGTTGCTCACAGCGACATCCTTTTCGACAATACATTTGCTCATTTTCATTTGTACACTTCTCCCAATTTATGTACTGCTCGAATGGATAGACGTTGAGTAATGCAAGGATTTCACCTCGAGTATTATTACCCCAAAATGGTGCGACTACTTCCTCTTTGACCGGACAAGCGTTTCTGTTCATTAAAATGAAATTAGAAATTAGGATTAAGAGGCACAAAAATATTTCAGGAAGCAAAAAAAAGTTTAAAAGGGATTAATTTGTATCTCTTTGAAGATGTTATTTGGGAAGGTACACTAAGAGGAAAACATTAAAAAGAGGAACTGATGCAATTTCAGATTTACTTAAAAATCTATGGACAGCCTAGTTCAATATCATATTTTGTCATCTTGAACAAGAAATTGAGTAGTAAAATTTCAGAAATCTTTTTAATATTATCAGGTTTTATGGTTCGAATCCTTATATAATTACAAAATCTTCATAAACCAAGGATGAGGAGCTGATGAAATGATTTAAATGTAATTTATCTTGACTAGAGTCTCTGAAGACTCCCCTCATCCACCCCTGCATTGTCAAAACAAAAAGAACATCTTAAAAAAATCCTCGCAGTGCCATAAAAAGGCAATCCTTTTCCTCTCATTTTTAAATTAATTTACTTCTTCTTATTTCCCTCTTTTAAACCTGTGCCCATCACAGACATTTAAGATACAAAATAATTAATTCCTCTCCTTTTCATTTCAACTTACACTCCACGCCTGTTCGCAGTGGGAATGGCATCTTGATATAATTGTGCCTCCGTAGTTGATGTTAATGAAGGATCTTTAGAAGCTTGTCCCTTATCATCAATCTTATCAAAAACAGCGGAAGTGGATGAGGCTGATGATGATGAGTCATTAACAAGCTCACTCAAAATGTCATCAACAACTTCCTCCAGTTCCTCATTCTCTTCTGTTGTGACTTTATTTTTAGTCATTATCAACGGCTTTTCACTTGATATTGATGTCGAGCTTGTCGTTGATGAAGACATTGTAGTTGATTCCGTCAATACTTTCTCTGTTGTGCTGACTGTTGATGTCGATGAAGCAGAAAGTGCTGAACTAATGTTGCTGAAAAGATCGATAACTGCTATATCGACTGTTTCATTTTTCTCACGATCACTTTCATCATCATCATATGCTTGCTGCTCATGATTATCAACTATTCTGTTGCTGTCTTCGTCATTCATAATTTCACTTGTACTAAGACTAGGCGTCGTCGTTGATGACGATGTTATTGATGTCAATTTTGTTGTCGTTTGTGACGTTGATTTCTCATTTAACTTCGTATTTGTCAGCGACTCGACATTCGTTAGAATTAAATTATCAATCAATGAAGTCTTTTCACTTTGCTCATTGGATTGGATTGTAAGTTTTGGTGGTTTTGTACGCTGTTTTGTATTTATTGCGGCAGGTCTTTGAGCTGGTCGAAAATGTGGCTCACTCGTATCACCACTTCGATAATTTTTTCTCGTTGTTGTCGTTGCTTTTGCTGTCACTTTCTTGGCTTTCATCTGCCGATGTCTAGGCTTATTATGCGTATTAAATGCTTTTGAATATTTATCAGCTGTAAGCTTTATATCGTCGAAATCAATTTCATTTTCTAGTTCCGATTGCATAACAAAGATGTGTCGGACGTCGCCATACATACGACGAACTAGACCTTGATTGTCATAAACAAATTTTTTAACTGCATTCCTGTCGAAATTTTTAAAAGAAATGGAAATAATTAGATAGAAAGCTGTACATTTTATAAATCATGTGTGGGTGTAGCACTAATGGTGCAGTTGGTCGATCATTGGAAGGAAAAGATCCAGTTCTAAGTGCTCTATAAATATCAAGCTATAGATTGGATTGCTGGGAAGTTGTTAATAAGATTTCATAATTTATGGCAATGAAAATAGGCGATAAATGTAATTGAAATTTTATTGCTGTTCAGGCTTCTTTTTCTGGGAAGCGTGGAAGAAAGTTTGTAATGGATTTTAATGCAGAACTTGAATTTTCTGAGTTTTAGATGAGATTTCTGTTTTGCTAAGTTGGTCAAAAATTTTTGGGGACCGTTCATCAATAATTTATTTCAAAAAAGCGAGGGATATTAAAATAGACATCATTTATGAATGGCTCCATTTAGCATAAAAGAGTTTCTGTTTTACTGAGAATTTACAAAAAAAATTCAAAGAAAAATCCCCAAAAAAAAAGTTGCCGTGACCAGGATTCGAACCTGGGTTACTACGGCCACAACGTAGGGTCCTAACCACTAGACGATCACGGCTAATGCTCACTTTTTGAGCTGCTTTTGATTTTTGCAATTGCTACTATTTAAACCATTTCTCCACGGCTTCTTAAAGCTTGTTTCTTTGCTTATTGCTTTGCATGATTTTCTTAGTGAGTTAAACTGATGGAAATCATTGATACATGTGTAAAATAAAAGTCTGTAGATATAAAAAATTATAAAACAAAAAAAAAACTAGTTTTGGTTTTGAAAATTCTAAAATTTGAATTTTTAAAAACGGTTGCAAATTTGTTATATTTTATAAAACATGAAAAGCTTTAAAAATTATAAGAAGATCAAAACAAATTATATGGTATGGGGCCGTTCACTTATGACGTCCGATATTTAGGGGGGTGGGGGATCTAGGATTTTGTGACAGTTCAAACAACGGAAATTTTTTTCTATAGAATTTTTGTGACAGAAGGGGGGAGGGGGGTCTAAAATTACGGTTTTTGATGGACGTCATAAATGAACGACCCCTATATGAGTTATCATTTTAAGAGAGTTTAAACTACTCCACAGAGTGGATTCGAACCTAGATACTAGGGATTTAAAGGGCGAATTTCCTATTTCAACAAACCCAGAAGCTGATACGAACAATTTACGTTCGACAGACTTATCGAAAGTCTAGGGGAGTTATAATATGTACGTTCGAAAAGTTTAAATTTGAAAAAAACGGTTACAATTTTAATGATTTTATTGGAGTTTTTGATTGTTTTAAAAAAGAAAAAGCTATATTATGCTTATCATTAACGACCACACAAAAGCTTCATCTAGATTTCATACAAAACTTGTTTAATTTAAGTTTTTATTTTTTTGTGAATTTCGAAAATTTCGAACTGCAGGGTATGAAACTTCGAATTTTGATTGGCAGACAGACAAATAGGACATTTTCACAAGTTTTCTTGGAAACTGTAACGGTCGAAACTCTTGAATTGTTCGTATCAGCCCAGAAGCTATTAAGTTGAGTCGTCAGTAAATTACTTATGAATGCCCTTTCCTTAACTTCTCAAAATATCTATTTAAAGTTATATCTTCTTTGCTTAGTTTACTATTCACATGATCAGATGGTTCATTGACTTTGATAAACTGTAGATCATAAAATATACATAACTGGAACTATCGAAGAAAAAAATATTATGCATTTATGTTTAAGCATCTAAAAGTGAAAGTTTTGTTGTTTCTTTTTATTGACAGAATAAAATTTCAATGCCTTGCTGTGCAAGCAACGGTCAACGGACTTTGGAATCGTAGACGAAAAAAAAAAATGATACTTCCAAGAATTTTGAAGGGATATCAGCATGAATATTTTTGAGCTGTCCTATATTTTGACTGATTTCTTTTATTTAGATCATCTGCGAATTACCCAGAATTCCCAAAGCAGTTAGCGTCTCATAAACAGCTACTAGATGATGCCTAAAACTGTTTTGGATCGAGTAATCCCAAATGATTCTTAATTCCATCTATCAAAACTTAGCTTGCAGCTTTTAAGAGCATTAGTATTCCAATGACTTCACACCAGATAGTGCGAAAAAAATATAAAACTTTCTCATACTCACCATGGATATGACTCCCCTGGTAAATTACAATAACTCTGCTTATTCAAATCACATGGAATGGATTCAATTAATCGCGCTCGACCCGTTCTAGCACGATTTGAATGTGGATCACATTCTATGCTGTCATAAGCAGATGATGCAAGAACGATTACGCCAGCAATATTTAGTAAGATAATTAGACATGCTATAGACTACAGATGAATGGAGAATTGAGATGATTAAACAGACAAAGTCGAGATGATTAAATGAAAAAGAAAGGAGAAATGGAAGCAAAAAAAAAAGAGAAATTAATGAAATGACCTCGGTGAAGGTTTTTTCATTCTGCTTAACTTAATCATGAATGACGGCGGTATTTATCATCATAAAGTGCAAAATGAAAGAAATACGAACAAAAAGCTTCTTTTGCTTTCTGTTTCGTATAACAGTATAACCTATTGAACGAATTTAATTTATTTTTGTGTGTCTACGCTGAATTAATGCAATAAGAGCGCGCGAGAATTGATTTTTTTTTTGTTTTTACGAGCATAATTTTTGAAGAGATGAGGCGGGTTTTGGGTGATTGTTGGTAGACTGAATTTACAGCATTGTGGATTATACTTTTATATTGTTTATTAAGAGGTCAAACTGGGTCTGAACCTTATAATAATAATAATAATGTGTGAAGGGCCCAGCCTTTCAGCTGGAGGCACTGCGATTCAAATTAGAACAGAATCTATTGTACCACACCCTTTAGACCTACAGTTTATAGTGGGATCCGAACCACTTGCACCTGAACCTCTGAACCTTACCTCAATTGTAATTCTATAAATCAATTTGGAGCCAAATTTTCGCTTATCAAGAGGAACACAGCTAATTCTGGTTTCTAATGTTAGAAAACACCCCCTGCTTAAAACTGGAACTTTATTGGCTTGAAACCACTTTAAAATAACATTAAAATTCCTCAAAAATGTAATTTTAATTTTTAAATCCCTCAATAGCATAAACAGTAAATTTTGAACTCAAATAAAAAGCCGGCAATGAGCAATGAATGAATGTTGAGGTGCAGAAATTAGCAACAAAACAACTGAGTGATTTCTAACAGTAAGTATGTGACATACGCAATAAAATTATTGCTCATTGACATATTGAGCTGTTTTCAATTTTTTTAAAGCATTTTTTAACACTTCATAGAAAGTAAATTCAAAATGACGTCAATGTTAGGTTTCGATTGTTATTGTTGTAATTGGTTGTAAATATTGGAATTGAGTGGAATATTGCCCGATTAGAAATCTGGAACCAAGCCTGTGTGACTCTGTCCATGGGTGCAGTGCTGATGAAATGAACAAAAATGATCAAAATTTAATTTATCATTTCCACACCCTTGACTCTGGTGTGATGCTGGATTTAAATAGGCTTGGTGCCAGCTTTCTATTCTATTAACCGACTAGTACTATTCGCGTTAGATTTTTGAACTTAATGGAGATGAATTTACCAGTTTAACACTAAAATCGTTGTGGTCAATTTAATACAGACATTGATAATTTGTAAAACTTTTCTTGATGAAGAAAGGCAAGATAAAGGTTCGATTCCTAATAAACACTGTGAAGCAAATCTTAGCTAGATCCTTAAAAAGTAAAGCTCATAATATCCCGATAGGGAAATAGCAGAGGGCGAAGTCGACTCGGATTTTGTATGGAAAAGTCGACTTGAGTTCACTCGACTTCATACAAATTTCGAGTCGACTTCGCCCTCTGGGAAAAAGATATTAACATCTGATAAATGACTGGAAAGTTCCTTAACATTTGTTACTACTTGATTGGAGATCTAGTTATTACTTTGACATTAATGTCTAATTAAAGCCTCATTTCAGCCCCATGAAAAGAGGCTGTTGATAGAGACAATATTGCATTTGATAAAGGAAATTCACAAGCGGTAGCCAGCGATAGAGCCAGTTTTAGGCGGCATCTGATGGAGGCAATGGATCACAATTGATCTGTAAGGTCATCGAAGGAAAGAAGTAAAGTAATGTCTAATATTTACTAGGGTATTAATTTGAACTTGACACTATCTTTGGACAGTAATTCACTTATCTCAATAAGACAGTATGATAGTTTGGCTATTGAGCTGCAGAATTATTGTCCATCACTGCTCGAAGTCGATAAAATTTTGTATGGAGTCGATTCAGCCAAACAAAATCGATAGATATCTCGAGTTGACTTAGAGCTTTGCGAATACTATTCGTTTCCTTTACAAACTATTGTGTTTTCAAGTATAGCTTTAGAGGGTCTAAAGAATATTAATAAAATGGGCTTAAAAAGAAGGAGGGAGGAGTCCAGATCATCTTTTAGTATGAAATTTGTGAGGAAATTATACTCAGACCTCCTTATCGAAAAGTAAGACTAGCTCCACCACTTTTTAGCCTGTAATAATGTTGAATTTATTAAATAAATGTCACTGATCACGGTTGATTTATGGGATGTCAATTATAAATCATACTTATTAAGATTCAATGTTTAAAATTGCTCATTACGTTTTTAAACCACTTGGTAAGGTCTATTAAGCGCAGTTTTAAGATACAATTGAAGAAAATTATTTCTGTCCTTCCGCTCTTTAATTAAGCACATCCAAAACTGTTAAAATATATCCACACACATGTAAAAATTGATGATTAAATTTTATATCATTTTAATTATCACCAAAAATGCGTTCGAATCTTCATTAATTACCCGCACTGCCTCACTTACTCGCTTTTTACATTTATTCAAATTAAAGAAAAAATTTCACTTGAAGACGCTCCAACTGAAGGTATTAAAAATATTATATTTTGTGTTGTTTTTTTGTTGGAAACGTGCTGAGAGAAAGAGCTGGAATTGGAAACAGGTTTAAATGTGTTTAAATCACTTCCAACTTCTTCTTTACTTCTCACTTTACCACATCATTTCACCATATATAATATGAAAAAAAAAAAATTACTCTGTGCGAAATTCTCACATGTAAATGGAAAGAAAGGAAAAGAAAAGAAGACTTTTGGCACTTCCATAGATATGTCTCGCACATTGTTGTGTGTTCGGTATTTGAATTGAATTCGAAAATTAATACAAAAAAAATATAATTTTTAACAAACAAAAAATTTCTCTCTTCTCTCGCAACAATTCTGTGCGTCTGTGTTAACAATCAGCTGTAAGACTTCAATAGAAGAAGAAGAAGAAGAAGAAGATTGAATCTGATTAGACATCGACTTACTTTACACTTCATTTTTTCCACATTAATTTCTTTTCTAATTTTCAATTTTTTTTTGTGACGAATTAATTTCTAGGTATTGTACTTATTTCTCACTTATTCGTCTTTATTTTGAATAATTATTTTACACATAGCACACGAACCAGTGCGTGTGAGTGAATTCGTTTCAAACTTTAAGTCTACTGCTTTAGTGCAGGTGAAATGGACTTTTTTGCTACTTTCTCCTTTTAATATATATTAAATCACCACACATAACAACACACAAAGTGTTTATTTGTTTCATTGGATCTTACATATTGTCACTTTCATATTTGTCAATTACTTTAGTCAACAACAACTTGCTTCTTTTTTATTTTATTTTAATCACGTCTTTTCGAAATTCTAATATTTTTTTGGCACTAAGAGATCTATTCACACATGACTGAGGTTGGTTCTGAATGCAAATACACAAAACTTTTGGTTGGAACTTAAACAAAATTATTTTTTAAAAAATAAAGTAAAGATCGCGAAGAGAAATGGAGGAAGAGATGTCTATGCGCTGAAGAAAAGTAATAAACTGAAGAAGTAAAAGAGAAATAAAAAGTCGGTCAAAAATTAACGAACGAATGTAGGTCAGTACTGCTTTCTTTAGTACGCCAACAGATCGCGGCAGTTGTTAGTGATCGTTGCATGGCGGTTTGTTGTTGTTGTTGCTGCTATCGTCATGAAAATTTAAGAATTTTTATTAATTCTCGTTTTTGTGGATTAGATGATTTTGACAGAAGCTTTATTTTTCGTATTTTAATCAGGTTCCTGCATGATCAGTCAATTTCATACAATTTGCTGTCTCTTTCTAGTCAAAATGACATTTAAATTCCATTTCATAACAGCATGCGTCACAAAAATTATCGAAACGTGCAATAAAAATTAACAAAAATCAACCAGGAACCTCAAATAAAATTATATAACATCAGTTGATGACAAATCAATCATCAATACGGAACTATTACAGTTTTAATCATCTTCATTGGCCATGATAGTGGGCTACAAGGGGTCTTAACTTTTACTGTTCGTGATGATCGTTTTTGGTCATTTTGTTCGACTTTGTTTATAGTTTGGTCATGGATGAAAGAGTTTTATACCACGTGCTGTGCTGTTGTTGTTATAACTGTGAAGTTTAAAATGCTTTTGAGATGTAATGTTAATGCGTTTTTTGGCACTTAAATTGATTGATTGTGATTGACTTTTTGAATATTTAGAACATTTTTTGAAGTGTGTGGGGCTCAGTTACTTAATAAATGTCTCTTAAAAAAATCAATCTCTAGAATAATATTGAAATTTTATTTTCGACTATGATCATTAACTTTTAATCAGGTTTAAATATAAGCAGCACGTGCTGATTGCTAGAAACAGATGATTTAAATAACAAATTTCGATTTGTCAAATGTATGCGAATTTTAAGTTGTGGCTACGAGTTTTTAAACCAATACGTATGATGAGTCAAATCGTTATTTCGCATGCTGTTGTGTATTTACATAATATTTTAGAAATTATTTCTCGGAAATTTATTTTAAAATTTTTTTGGTATTCAAAAAAAATGATACGGAAGTTAAGGCAAAAAAATGGTCATATCAGGTTGAATTGACACCAAAACGACCCCTCATTAGTCCAATTTCTATTCGTTATTTTCATTCAGAGGTGAATTCAGGAGGTTTAAACTTTGGTATCCTCTACCTTTTTCAATAAATTCTTTAACATGCTTTTGGAAATTCGAACACGCCTTTAAAATTTCAAATAATCCCCCCTTTGACTTATACTCCTGTCCTCATAAATGTTGAGTTCCTCAAGCAAATCCAAACTTAAAGGGACACTCTGTAAATCCACAAAGCAACTTTCATCTTTCAAAACCGTAAAAAAAATCCTCGACAATAAAATCTTCTGCTTAATATTCAAAAGACTTCATGTGACCTTTTTAACCTCCAATTTTCTACATAAACTGTTTCTTATCCTTTTACATTATTTATCCATATGAACTAGATAGACGTATTATCCTTCTAACTAAGCTTCAATTGAGCCCTTTGATCATGATCATTTAAAGTTCCACTTACTTTGTCCTGCATACAAAAATATTTTTTCTCTTTTTTTTATGAAAAATGATAAAGTCTATAAAATGTTATTTAGGGCTTCGTTGAGCATAAAAATAAAAAAAAAAGCCTATACCATTTTTTATTTGTGTGCTTGCTGTCTCTGTGCATTAACCCTTGTCGTAGATGTCATCTTTTTTGCGTTGTCCCAAAAGTATAACTGCTGTACTCGTTGGAAAAAAAAAAACATAATCCAAAATCCATTCAAAATTACATAGAGGATATAAAAATAAATTGACAATCACGTGCCGTTTTGATAAGCAACAACTTAATTTCACACTCAAGTGATTGAGCAAATAAAAATGGGCTTTAATTTTATTATTTTTCTGTGTGCTATGCTTGTATCTGGATGTGATATTTCTCTCACTTTTGGGTGACTTACTTATGGACAGGAAATATCCTTAGTTAGACGTTGCTTGATATCAGGAGTCGTAAATTAGAATGTGAGAATAGAAAAAGAAGAGCTTCTAGTACCACAAAATTTAGGGATTTTAAATCCAATCCGAGTTGTGAAATATATTGTTTAAAAGTAAAGCTTTCATCCCCCAATTTAAGGGTACAAGCATCAATAAGGTCAGTATTGGAGTTCAAATTCAACTTCAAGCTGTAGGTCAGAGCAGATAAGCAACTGATTGTCAATTGTGGGATACGGATTAAATTTCACAAATGCATACATTTTGAAAGTAATCAACATTCCTTGTCAAAATTCACCCACAACTCTCATATCTCCTTAAAAATCCAGCTACAACATTATTCAGTCCATTCAGTCAAACAACAAAGAAGAAATCACAAGCAGGTTTTCCATCCACCCCTTTAACAGTTCCTTCTCCTTTTCCTTCTTTTTATTTCATTTTATTATTTTTATCATCCGTTCATTGTCCATGAAAGAGTTGGTAAAAAGAAATAAAACTTACGTACAATTTTCTCCATCAGAATTATCGCACATCCAAAACTTTCCATTAACGTTCACATTCAATTCTTTTCTTTTCCTTTTTTTTTCTTCTCCTTCCGCTGCCATTCTCATTGCTGTATGCGAAGAAAATAATTTCCACTCGTAATTCTTCTTCAGCCATTGTATTATTTTCCTTATCCTTGATCGTGAAATGGATTAACTTAATTCCCTATGTCAAAATGATAGAGCTTCCATGCTTTTCATTTTCTTCTTGCTTATAGTTGGGGTATAAGGTTTATGTATTTTTAGCTGTGAGGCATAAAATATGGAATGAGAGTTATTCTTTGTGGGGGGATTAAGTGAGGGGGATAACAACACAATGAGAAATTTGTTTAGATATTTTTGACGAGAAGTGGACGAAAACTAAATAGAAAACCTTATTCTTAATTTTTGAATTTTTATTTAAAAAAATTTCCCACTATGTTGTAGTCCCCCTCAAGCTTAAGTGGATCCCCTTACAGATTAAGATTTTAAAGATACAAAAATGATGTTGGTTATTAATTTAAAATTAATCAACACTTTAAGGCAGTTAATGGATGGAAGGCTTTATGTGATAATCATAAAAATAAAACTGTCTTGCGGGGTAGATGTTCTGTAAAATAAGCACAGCTCAATAATGAGAAATGAAATAAAATTTTAAAACTTTTATTTTTTTTTTGTCTTCCAAGAAGAGGATTTTAATTCTCGTACACTAATTGACATTTTCGGTTAATGACTTTAATTTTATGTTTATGGTAAATGAAGTAAAGCAATCTTGATGTTTGTGCTCTTTTTGGGGGCTGCTTTTAGGCATGTTTATATCTTAGATGGTTTATTTATGAACAGAAACAAATTTTTATCTTTCATTTTTTTTGGAGAGCATTTTTGAGTAGCAAGAAGGTTTTTGAGTTTGGCTTGTCAGTTTGGGTTTAGTGAAGCTGTTTTTGAGTTTGCCGGATATTTTGGAAGTGCTTAGGTCCTTTAATCATGGGATTAGATAAATAATTTTATTTATTCACAGAAAATTGCACCTTGAAGGTTTGGGATTCAAACCCACATCATAACTGAGAATATAGACAATTTTTGGCTAACCATTCAGCCACAGAGACCTTACATACGCACTGACAGATTAATCTATACTTTATCAATATAGAACAGCGCACAACACAAGCCGCTTTCCCTAACATTCTGTTTATATTTTCCACAATCTACCTATAAAGATAAAAAGAGAGAATAAAAAATCATAAACAAGTCGTGTGCATGATTTTGCCGTAAAAGCCACGAAAAATTATCAAATCATCCGCACAACAAAAGGCATTCAAAGAGAACTTTTTTATATTTTTCACATTTTCTTCTTTATTCTTGCCGCTGACCTCATTCCTGTGCAATTTTTAAATACTTTTCTACTTCCATTATCTGACACATGCTATCGCTTATTTTCCTTCATTTTCTAGTGCGAATAAATTTCAAAAAAAGTTAAAGCATAGTAATGTGAAAGGCGTATGCTCTTATCAACTATGCAGAACAAAAAAAAAATTGAAGAAACTTTTTCCATTTGGAGCTGTAAGGGCGAGAATAGTGCAGTTCATTGCAGTGCTAAAAGCATTATATCAAAGTGTTAGTAAAGATTAAATTGTAAAGCACGATGATGGAAGCAAGAAAGAGTTTTATGACTTCTATCGTGTCTAATGTTCATTAAGGATTTAATTTTCAAGTGCCTTCCTTCTTCTTTTTTATTTTTGCCGTCTTTCCCTCATTCCAAACACTTTTCTTTTATGTTTTATTTGAAAATCCTACAATAAATTTCCTCTCCAGTTTTATGACACTGGGAATTAATTACATAGTAAAAAATTTTTTTTTGGTGCGAGAAAATAAAAGTACGGAGAGGAATATCTATTGCATACAGCCCAGCAAACATTAATGATTTATCGCATAAAAGGAAGAGCCTTAAAAATTATTTTTTTTTGCTATTTTCTTTTTCTGTTTTTAGCGAATTAATTTGGGGCAATTGGAAATTTAAATTTGAATGTTTAAGAAACATTTTGTCTCGTTTTGTGAGATGAGGTTGGGACTTTCAGCATAAATTGATTTCTAATATCTATTGGGACACTGAACCATATTGTAGGTGAATGTGAATCTGCAAATGTAAAGTTAAGAACTCAAAAGCCAAGAAGTTAAGTATTTTAAAGAATTTCTAACCTTTTTATTTACTGGCGATGTGGGTTCGATTCCCACACTCCTGAGACTGGTTTCTAGGGCTAGTCTGTACATCTATCTTAGTCTCAGATAAATTATATTAACACCCCATTTTGTTTTACATTAAATTTATTCCTAGTGCAGTATGTCTTAAGTAGCTCTATAAACCAGCCACTGATGTCGAAGCAAAATTGTTTTACATCATTTTTGAACAGCCTTGACACAAATGTCACATCAAGTGGTAAGCTAATCGATGGAGGGATTAGAGCGACCAATTTAGAAGGATTTAAGCTCGCACCATCTTAAGGTTTGTTATTAACTCCTTCTGTAGCTTATCCAAGAAGGTACTCATCGTTTCTAAGTTACTCAACTTACTTGTACCATACTTATGCAAACATTCCTTAAAATTGGATTCAAGACAACTTCGGTTATTCCAAAGATATGATTTTCTATTACTAATAATAATAATGTGTGAAGAGCCCAGCCTTTCAGCTGGAAGCACTGCGATTCAATTTGTAAAGAATCTATTGTACCACAGCCTTTAGACCTACAGTTTATAGTGGGATCCGAACCACTTGCACCACTTTCCTATAACTACTTACATACAATTTTACTATCCATGTATCCAGCCATGACTTGGTCCTTTAAAAATTAATATAAAGACAATTGTAATCAAAACTTTAGCTACATCCGCCTCACCATACAATCATCCATTTTCATTCCAATCATGAATCCCTATAGACAGCACTACTTCCTATTCAAAAATAATTACATCGATCAACACATTCTCCATGAACCATGACAGCACTCGAAAGAAATGCGCCTCGTTAATTTCCCTCTAGTGACCTCTTCTCCTACTATCCTCCTTTTTATGCCGAAAGAAAACCAAAAGAAACTCGCTTGAGTTGATGAGGAAGAAAAATATTTTTGTAAAATATATTTTTTTTCTTTTATTTTTTAAACCATAAAATGGAATTAGATTTGATTTATGATCTCCTCATGCCACAATGGTATTTAAATTTTTTTTTTATTGAAATGGTTTAATGCTCTTTAAAGTGAGCAGTGCAAAAGAAAATTTAACTGCCTAGAAGACATAAATTAATTATAGGAAGGAAAAAAAAAATTCAGACCATAGAGCGGCAATTAAAAACTTTTCTTATAAATTATTATCAGCAATCTTCGACTTGAACGGTGAACAAGTGCTCGATTTCAGCACTCTCGAGTGCACGCCTCAATTGATCTTTAATCTCTGACTGAGCAGATATTATTGAAAGTTTAAAGAGCAGCAATTCATCAGATATTGGAATACCGTCTTCGATCTAAAATTAGAATAAGAATAATTTGCATTGGATTCGAGTGGTTGGAAGGTTAGCGCGTATTTTGCATTTTTCTGGGAGAAAACAAGTTACTGAAATTGTTTTAGAATCCATAGGTCTATTAGGTTGGCTTGTAAGGTTTCTCTATCCTAGAATCGTCAATCGATCTTCAATCCCACTCAAATTCCAACCAAAAAATGCGAAAAACGCGCCACACAAAAATCTGCATGCTAATTAGAGAAAATAAGAAAAAGGAAATTTTTTCGATTTCTTCATCTTTTCATCTCCATTTTTTTCTTCTCTCCTTCTTATTCACTCTAATTACTAATTGATGAAATAATTAAAAACCTTTTTGTGAATTGCAATTGCATTTTCCAGAACATTATGCTTTTCATAGCATCTCGGAACATAAATTATAGCATCCTTAAATGCTTTTATAACATCTTGAATATAATCATTCCAATGTTTAATTACGCATTCCTTTGTTGCCACAGATGCTAGTTGTTCGAGACTAATGAAAGGTTGCTCTGCCATCTCCTGAATTTCTTCATCGTCATTATTCTCGGTAGATATTGTGCTATCAATTTCTTCGTTTAATTCACTCACAACATTCATTTTAATGCCATTCGCACTATCTCGAGCGTGAATTAAATATTTAGCTGCTTCATTGTTGTGGTTGTGTAGTACTTCATTAATTTGACTAACACTCTCCGACACCTGAACTCTCGTTTTGCTGATAAACTGTCTAAATGTTTCCTTTATGTTTGCCATTTCGGTACTGCTACTTGCCTACCATGGATGAACGGGAAGTAGGAATACAGCATAAATGAGAAAAGAATTAGTCATGTGTTGTATCGTGAAAAATGTTTGAGGATGGAAAAAGGAGAGAAACATAACAATTTCTTGTGATTTTACTATATGGATCATTCGGATGAACACTGAGAGAAATTGAACTAAGGGAGATTTAAAAATTTGCCAAATTGGATGTGAAAAAGTAGAGATAATATTTAATGCTGTCCAAATCTTATCAGCACAGGATCAGATCTACCAACTGACCAAATAAGCGCTAAAGTAAGATATTTTTAACCAGTTAACAGAAAGGTTTACTTTAATGTTTCAAATTAACATTTTAAAAAGTTACTTTGTACATCTTTATTTATCACTAGTCAATTCCCATTTCTTAATTTCCACCCTTTGATTCCTACCCTTTGGTTGCCACCCCTTAATTCCCACCCCTTGATTTAAAATTTGATTGATTTATTCAGACTTTAAAATTCATCCGTTAAAAGGCTAATGATAGTTTGACGAGACCTTCAGTTTATAGTGGGATCCGAACCACTTCACCCTTTGATTTACGTCCTCTAATTTCTACCCCTTGATAAACACTTTTGATTAATTCACTGGTGTACAAATTTTTTTAAAAACTTTAAAAAACTGTTGGTCCACGTCAATTCACACATCATCCACATCTAAGATTTTGTTTTCTCTCAGTGTTCTGACAAAATTGGTCGTAAAAAGTTTTCTATGTAACTATAACTTTGCATACATCGTTAGATAAAACGTTGATAACGATAAATACAATTAATTCAATTTTCATTTTCCGTAATTTTCTTTTTTTCTCCTTGTTCACCTCACTCCTTCCGTTTTTTTTTTATAGTTCCTCGTATTATATCCAATCCCGCCTTTATAACTCAAAATAAAACTTTTTGTTACTATATTATATCGTTTTTAATGAACAATTGAAGCAGCTCACGCTTCTAACTTAGGTGTATATGAACATAAACTGTACACTAAATACGACATTTAACTAGGTAAACTAAATAAATGTGTAGAACATACAACAAGGAATAAAAACACAATCTCGTTGCGATAAAACTTTAAATAACTTGAAAATTACGTGACACGTAATTTATTTTCCTACTTCTTACGCCAACAACAATAGCTGAAGTGAACTACATACTATTCGTATATTGTTTTCAAACTGAGTAAATATTATTGACGATATTTTTTCACTTAAAAATTCTTTTTCTCTTACATTTACTTCTATTTTGTTACTGTCGACTCATTCAATTCAATTTAATTCATACTTTGTCACCTGTGTTTAATTTACCCCTTCGCATTCTTCGACTTTACTAAGTTTCTTTTTTATTATTGGATTTTTCATTCTGTTCCGGAAATTCCTTACATCGTGCACTGTTTGAAACTTTTTTCCATTCATTCTTTTATGTGTTATCGTTATTTCATTTGCAATTAGAAAAATTTACATAAAGAAATTGTTTTTGTAATTTTTTTTAACTCGACTAGTTTGGGGAGTATTGGGACGAGTAAGGCGAGGAAATGTAAATATTTTATTGAGGGTGGATAAAAAGCTTTTTTAATTCCGAAGAGCATCGAATAAGGATTATATATATCGACTAAGTATCTAGATCTTACCTAATCTTAATTTTAACTTAGTCTGAATCCTTGGTCTAACCTCATCTAAATAATAAATCTAACCTTGTTTAGACACTAGATCATATCTATTCTTGATCTTAGATCTAGTCTAGTATAGATATTAGATCAAACTAGATCTTAGATTAAACCTAGTCTAGATTAAACCTAGTCAACGTCAAAACTATTTCAGATCAAACCTAGTCTAGATCAAACCTAGTATAGATCAAACTTAGTTCAAATCAAACCTAGTACAGAACAAACCTAGTTTAGATCAAACCTAGTCTAGATCAAATCTAGTACAGATCAAACCTAGTCCAGATCAAATCTAGTCTAGATCAAACCTAGTCTAGATCAAACCTAGTATAGATCAAACTTAGTTCAAATCAAACCTAGTACAGATCAAACCTAGTCTAGATCAAACCTAGTCCAGATCAAACCTAGTCCAGATCAAACCTAGTCTAGATCACATCTAGTCCAAATCAAACCTAGTACAGATCAAACCTAGTCCACATCAAACACTAGATCTAACCTCTACATTCTTCAGTCAATTTACAGCTAAAAAGGATATCAAAACATTTTACGAATATGTAAGTTTTAGTCTGCAAAGTAAACTATCATGAAAATTTATTTGCTTGCAATATATTCATAGCACATTCCATAGTCAAGTATGTAATAGGGAAAAATGGCAGCAGCATATACAGGTTAAATTTGCATAATTTCTCAATTTTACTCTGCCATCACACTTTAATACAACACTTTTCAAGCTATGTAATATTCACAGAAAATCTCATATGCTCCATTCCAAAGACTACGATAGTTACACATATTTGTGAATATGAAAAAAAAATCTGGCATAGAAAAAAAAGTTTTATTAGAAAATTTTGCTGTTTTTTGCTCATAAAATAGAGTTGATACTGCATCCAGTTGTGCATATATTTGAAGATGCGAAAATGAAAATTGAAAAGTTTTCATTAAAAGTAAACTTTTTCATATTTGTATGTGTACATCTGTCAACTCAATTTCTCTGCATATGAACTAATCTTGTTCCAGTAAAAAAAACTTTTATTTTGTAGCTATTTATTTTCGAAATTCGTATTGAGCATTTTTGGATGTTTGCAGAAATATTTTTCGAGTTTTATGAATTCATTTTTAATTGACAATATTTAACATTGATATTGCTGACTATTTTCTGTCTGTTTGCAATTCTGAAATGTTGTTGACCAATTAAATTTTTGTGTAGGCAAAGGACACAAATACTTTGTTGCCATAGGATGATAAATAATTGAAATTTAATGCTGTGGGACTTTAATTGACATGAAAAGCTAGGGAGTTACTAGAGAACTGTCTAATAACATCTAGAACAATTTTTAAAGAGTATTAAGTTTTAATTAAAAGTTTTTAAGCCACTAGCATAATTTTTAAATTGGAAAATGTAGCAAAAATTTTTATCAATTTTATTTTATTAAAAATCGCTTGAAGTTTAGTGAATTTTTAAACTTGGGAAAATACGATGGAATATAGGATGAGATGGGAGTCATTAAATAAATAGCTGATGCTTAGGGATTAGTGGGTTTAAGGCAAGGGTGCGGAACTGATAAATTATATTTTGATCATTTTCGATCATTTCATCAGCTCCGCACGAATCAAAGAAAACAGGCTCCGTTGGGCTGGACATGACGTTATGAGACTTAATAAAGTCTTTAAAAATGTTTTTGTAGATTGCAAAAGATCACTCGGACGTTCTAAGAACTCTTGCAAAGAAGCTGTTAACAGAGACAGTATTACATTTGGAATGGGTAATTGGCAAACGGTAGCCAGTGATAGAATCAGCTTCAGGTGCAGTTAAGTGCCTTGCTGGTCGAATAGGTAAGGCGCTTGGCTCATATTTGGGATGATACTCGATGGAATCGAAGGTCGTCGGTTCGAATCCAGCCATTTCCAAATTTGTTCTTTTTCGGAAGTTTAGATACTTCGACTGCTTAATGTACGAGATCAAGCCATAATTGAGCATTTGGGCAACGTTGGATTAAGGAACGGGTCAGGAACTTGAAGTGTAGCGGGAGAAATAGGAACGAGAGCTACAAGATTACCCACGAATGGAATATTGATAGAACGGACCTGAAAAGTATCACGTAACGTCTACAGAAGATCGAAACGAGAGTCTTAGTTTATTTGAAATCTAGATATGAAGATTAGAAGTTTGATCCTACATAATATTAATTCATATGTATACAAATACAAAAGTGTAAAATGTGAATTATTACCGGACAGTATGTCGTCAATAAATGCAATAAAGTGCAATTAAAATGAAAAAAAAAGGTGCCATCTAAGGGATGCCATGACTCACAATTGATCAGTACGGAAAGCGAAGTAAGAAAGTAAGTCTACAGTTCCGTACCCTTGGTTTAAAGTGATCTCCCCGCCTTCCCCATTACAGTTCGTTGATACCATTTGCTTCACATTACTTCAATCCCAACACAGCATTGCTCCAAAAATATTAGAGATTATTCAGGAGATCTAAGAGATCTGATTTTCTAAGAGCTTAGGATCAATAATATCAAAGCAAGGAAACTCAAGATCCGTTTCATTGAAAGATAACCATTAAGGGATAACAAATTTCATCATCAGCGATAACATTAAAATTTTAAACAATGCCTGATTCAAATATCCAACTTGAGATTCTAAACAATAGCACTTTAACACCTTATCAATTAGTTTTCCAGATCAAAGAACTTCATCATTCAAAAGAGATGAAAAAGCCATCAATTCACACTACACTGAAGAGACTTTATGGTGAAGAAATTTTTTTTTCAATAACATCGATTCCATTTCTTCATCATGGGTGCGGTTCATGGGACCGACAAAAAATTTGGCCAAAATTTGGCCAAATTTTTACCCAAATTTTTACCCAAATTTAGCCAAATTTACACCCAAATTTGGCCAAATTTTTCCTGAAGAATTGTTTGAATAATATTTTTGAAAAAGTTCTCCCAAAATTTTGGCCAAATTTGGCCAAATTTTTATCCAAATTTTCATTCGAATTTGGCCAAATTTTGAACCAAATTTTCATCCAAATTTGGCCAAATTTTCACCCAAATTTTCATCCAAAATTTGGTCAAATGTTTAATTAAAATTTGGTCAAATTTTTGTTCAAGTTTTTGTTTTTTTTTTTTGAAAAAATTGAGACAGTTGTAGTTTTAAGTTTAAATAAAAACGATTAATTTTTTCATAATATTTAAACTAATTGCTTTAAGCGCTACGCTTTGTTTGTATATGAACTGCAACTTATGCAGGGTTTTAAAATAACTACAGTTTTAAAAATCTGCTGAAATATATCCACAGCATTCCACAGTGATTCAGATACGGAAAAAATGTTTAAAAATTCAGAAATATCATATTAATTAAACTTCAATTTTTGAATGAGATTAAAGATCTCAACTTGAAACATATCCTGTGAACATATCTTGTCCCAATTTAATGTCTAACTCCACAAAATCTTTAATTTATTCTCACCAAAAATTTGTTTACAATTTGTTTATGAAAAAAATCTTTGGTTTCTCTACTTTAGGTTTCTATTTCGATATCCTACTAGCTGTTGTTAGCTAAGTTAAGCTTAGATTTGCATATTTAAACTGATTTAAACTACCAAGTCAACAGAAAACTGCTTATTAAGTCTTAAAAATCCAATTGAAATCTGAATTTTTCAATTTAATATTATTGATGATTTTTTTTTTCTTTTAAGAGATATTTAATTCAATAAAGATGCATAATTTTAGGTTTGACCATTTTTCAAAAAATATCTTGTTACCCTATTTATGGGCAATTCTTTGGATGACTTTTGGAAAATTTTCAGCAAAAAATCGAAATTTTGTTGATTTTTCCCATCAGAGACACCGATTTTATGAGTCTTATCGATGTAAAAATCTAAAATGCACACTACTTTTGATATCATACACTTGTAATCGCTGTATTAATTAAGTTATTTGGATTTTTCAGTCAATAACTCGATGACAGAAATCGGAATTTTCAATTTTGCATCATCCGAAGAATCGAAGATTAGAGAAAACTATTGATATCCACATTGAATAATTTTACTGAGTTATGGAACAGACAAAAATTTTTAATTAGGTTGCTTTTATGTGTGCTTTAAGTCATTAAATAATGAAATATTTCAATTCTTTGAAAAATTTCCTTGTGTCGTCGAGTTATAAAAAAGCTTTTTTTTGTCTTAATCCGTGAAAAAATACAAAACTTTCAAACATATTTTTTCAATTTTTCACTTAATTTGGGTGAGTTGTAACATTTCAATAGATCACTTGTAAAGAATTATTTATGCTTTATGATCTACGAATGTTCTGGCTTATTATTCCTTCACAGTAATATGAAATTAAAGAAGACATTTTATTGACACAAAACTCATTGACATTGGATAATGAAAGCTCATTTTTTTTCAAATTCCACTCATCCAAAGAATTGCCCTAATAGGGAATAACATTGCAAATTAAGTATTTTTTTCCGAATCTCATATGAAACGTTTTAAATT